AACACATTGACTGCTCACTTGGACAGTGCAACATAATGAACATGTTCCCTGCTCAATGCCACAGGGTAGAGACTGATCCCCACCCGTAAATTTCTCTTCCTTGAAATAAAACGCTTGAAGGGACACAATTAGGCGTCAGGAGGGGGAGGTGGCAAGACAGAATCATTTTTTAATTGTTTCATTCTTTGCTTCCAACTTGTCTATACGCACGGATTAGCCGATCTCATTCACTTTTCATATGCTTTTCTTTTTGTTTTATTACTTTTAAATATCCTACATGGACAAAAAAAAAAGGATCTCCCATATCAGTTTAGTCCGGTTTCATAAAGGAAGATACGCGTTATCTCAGGACTTTTCGAATTTGTCATTCAATTAACTAACATTGTTCAGATATATAGGATTCATATATCATATTCCTCCACACATACACACACACACACACACAAACACGCACACACACACACGCACGGACACACACACACATACACACCCACCCACACACACACACACACACACACACACACACACACATATATATATATATATATATATATATATATATATATATATATATATTAAGGTAGGTCGATTTTGGAACTGTAAAAAGAATAACCCGAGGAAAGCTGCAAAATAACGTCAAAAAATTACCACAAAAAATATTTTTCTTCAAAACTTCGTATTTATTTGAGCAATCGAACTAAAAGACAAAATAAATTGCGATTTTTATCAATCATAACGGTGTCACCAGATACATGTGTATGTTAGATTAAAACCGAATCTTAACGAAAAGAAAAGAAGAAAATAACGCTTAATAATGTATATTTCTTAGTTTATTATCTATCCTCTTAATAAATTAAATGAAATTACTACAAATAAGAAAATAAAACACATTAAAATATTTAGTTTAAAATACAAATAACTACTCATGAACGGCGTCGTTTTTACTGGATATTTTTTCGGTATTTACCGGTAGTAATTACCTCCTTTTCTAAGTTCGTTTTATTTCTGTTTACGCTTTTAACTAGCACAAAAATCTATTTTATTTTTCATCAAAATATACTTAACTATTTAAAAAAATACAACTTTTATAATTATTGTAATTTGTTTATATTTTGAAAATTAATGTTTTATTAAAAAGCCTGTTTACAAGCTAATCCCGGAATTAACTCTACTTTTATGTAAATAAACATTACTTTTATAATTTAATAATGCATTTCAAACTTTGTTTTCCAATTTATTTTGAAAAATATTTTTGTATAATTTCTGATGATACATATATTTTCTTTGTCAAATATTTTAATAAAAATGGCAGGAAAAAGCATCTCAAAAGGCCTAGCATACCGTGGAATTTTCATAAGGCTATATAGCGGCTAGCCTTATCAAAATTCCATGGTATGCTGTTGAGTTGATCAGGGGTGATGTATCTTACAATCTTGGAGCCAGCCTTGCCAATGCATTGCCTTTGGATTTGAGGGCTATGGGCCTTCTTATCCCCAATATGAATATAAAAAGATATTTATATAGATAAATGTAAAATTGATAGAGCAAAGGTTAAAGGGAAAACAAATGCCCATCAACAGCATGATGAAAAGGTGGAAAATTTTTGTATTGGAGTTGATGGGAGAACTGACAAAGACACACTAATGTACAAGGAAATAGTGGAGGAAAATGGAGAGAAGACTGAAAAAAGACCAAGAGACCAGAACGCCACTTGACTGTCACAAAGATGACATGAAAGTGAATATCTGACACATAGGGTTCTTCCTAATATTGGTGCAATTGTTGTGGTTCTTGCCGAGCAAGTAGCTGATGTTTTACATGAATTCAACATTGTGAGCACTATCAAGGCTATCCTTGTTGACAAACACTAATGCCAATTCAGGCTGTGATCTCTAGAAAGAAAACTTAACAGAAATCTTCACACTATTGGTTGCTCCTTGCACCAAAATAAACTTCCGTTTAGAGCTCCTTTTAAACATGTAGATGGTACCACAAAAAAGCCCTGCCACATTCAATGGTCCACTTGGAACATTATGTGCAAATGATTGCCACAATTTACCCCAAATATCATTTTCAGCTGTTGGCAGTCCTCTGGATTCTATTTTTAAAATTGAAAATGCAGATACCCTTAGTTGTGACCAAAGACTCCTTTATGAATATACAGTGGGTATTTCTAGAGGTAAGATGGACTCTATATTTGCATCATGGAAAATTGGTCTATTAAACCAGGTGGTTAACTTTAGGTATCAGTCTGGTGTGCTTATGGACTCATGGTGCATACCCACGAAATATTTCAACCAAACTCCGCAGTTCAATAAATTTTATTGTGAATGTGTATACCATTATTTTCGAAAATAAAAGAAATAACAAGTTCCACAATCAGCAAATGTATATTTTCAATATGATTCAAAGGATTAGGAAGCAACCATATGAAATCCAACAGATCACATTGAAAAATATACAATACAATGCTTTTGCCTTACTGCCTGAAAATATTTTATATTCAATGGTCAAATCTGATGAACGGGAAGTGAGGAAAGAAGCTATAAAAAGAATTTTGGCCATTAGGTTAGTAAATATTTATTCATATAAAATTGACTAAATTAGTTATACCGATTTATGGAATCATTTGAAGGATTTTATCTAATTTCACCATAAATATTAAAGCAGTACAGAGTGCAATTTTTTAAAAAAATAAATCAAATTAATTTTTATACTCTTTTAAGAGTGGGGAGCAAACCAAGAAAAAATTAAAAAGAATCACAGCTATCAAATTTAAAGCTATGCACTGGAGATAGTTAAAAGATCTGTCATTAAGTGGAGTTTGTGAACCACAACTCACAGAAGAATTTTCTGAAAATGAACTTCGGGAATAATTATTAAATGGTACGAAACTTGACTTGCCAGATTTACCCTCACATTCTCAGGGCATGAAACGGGCAGTCAAGTTAACAACAGAAGCTTCCCAATCTGTGTATGGCTTTGAAGCAAGGCAACAGCACATAATATCAATATCTTTGTGTCAGAAATTGTGACCATCAATTTCATCTGAGGGTTCTTATATGGAGCTATTTGACTCTGTATATTAAGCCTTATTAAACTATTCTTTATTTTTCCATATTTGTTTGTTTGTTGTATTTTCATTCAAAACAGAAAAAATCAATTTTTTAATGTATTCAACTAATACTGCTTAATTCATGAGGAAAAAAACATCATTTCAAAATCGTCAGTGATAATGGGTGGGGGGCAAATTTTCAATTTGAAGTTTACTTTCTACATTTTATTTCATTTTGATAAAACAAAATAACAACATTCCCTGATTTAAATAGTGAAATTGTTTGTTTTTTTTTTATCAATATTTAGTCCAAATCTTGCAAAATCGTGGATTTTTCAGTGCATTGTTGTCTACGACCTTTGATGCCAAATGCACAAAAAACTGTTGACGTGACAGATCTAATTTTTTGTATCAGTACTTAATAGGTCTATACACAACCTTCGGAATATTATTCTTTTTGATATTTTTAAAAATGTGAAAAATCGACCTACCTATATATATATATATATATATATATATATATATATATATATATATATTAAAAACAAAAACATGTTAATAATCGCTACACAATGGCAATTATGTTTCGATACTACAAATGTGTTTCCTCGGGCGATGGTAAACGACTGGCGAATGAACAATTCATTTAATTTCAAAACCAAAATATCATTTTACCTGCATATATATATATATATATATATATATATATATCGTTTAACACAGGGTTATAATAATCAAGCCACAGAGTGCGGATCATGTCACCTTGTAATCAATTTTAATATAAGCGTTTTTAGTATATCTACCTGACAAAAAAATGCTCCGAATAAGTTTGATTAAAACAAACCAAGGTCCGTCTGTGTAAATTCTTTATTGTATTTTTTCGACTTTCGAATAAGATGTTGTATATCGGGATCGAAACTGTCGATAAACTGCCCGAAGTTTCATGTTTGACCTTTTTTTATTCAAAGGGACACACCTTCTTCTTCTTCTTCTTCTTCTTCGAGATCCGCGTCCCAGAACTATTTTTTTAGAACCATGTGCCGTGTGTAAAAGATAAAAAAGGTTTTATTTCTTTTAAATGTTGAAAGTTTAAAATATTTGGTGACACGACATGTGTAAAGGTTAAAGGGCGCGAGACCCACGCGCGCGCGCGCGAGAAGAAAAGAATGTGTTTTTTTTTTGTTTGTTTGTTTGTTTTGTCTTGTGTATAAAGTACTAATCCTTGCCGTCAGTGAGAATTGAACATGAAAGGCGTGTTTGGTAAGCATTACCCTACGGCCAACATCAGATGAACACAAAACTCGACTCTCAAACTATTCTTTATTATGCAAGTTCTACATTATATTGTTTTACTGAATTTAGTTTAGACTGGCACAAGTCAGCTGCATTAGAGCACCAAGTTACGATTAATTCAAATAAATTATGAAACTAGCATACTTATTATCACTCTATGACAGGCACTATATATATATATATATATATATATATAAAGAAATATAGTCTTAAGGTGTGTTATATTTATGGAATAAAGTGCTCAATATCAGAGATAGAGCGTGTGTAAATATAAAATTGAACATAGAAGTCAACATAGGCGACAGTCTGTTTCATGCTACATGTGGCCTGACGATTGCATATAGCATGAAACAGACTGTCGCCTCTAAGTGTTGACTTCTATGTTCACTTTTATATATATATATATATATATATATATATATATATATATATATATATATTTACGTGTGTGTTTTGCGTTTTATTGAATGTGACAGGCAAGGAAAAGCCTGTAAAAGTTTTTTTATTAAGCTTTACTAATGTTCTCAATTTTCCTGGTTTTTTTTGCGGGGGCGAGGGGTAGTTTAAGCGGAAAACTATAAGAACATTAGAAGAATTTAAAAAACTTTTCCTTGTTTGTCATATTCAATAAAACGTGTATGAAAGGTTTCTGTCAAATAGATAGATAGATAGATAGATAGATAGATAGATAGATAGATACGAACAGACTTAGAGATAGATAGATAGATAGATAGATAGATAGATAGATAGATAGATAGATAGATAGATAGATAATTTAAAATGTCAAAATATAAAGAAAGAAAAAAGGGAAATAATAATTATCACTGATAGATTCATAATAATTGAAAATATTTTGCCAGTTTTGAAATTGGTTAGATGATAACATGTGAAGCATAACACTTCCAGTGTATTTTGCTATATAAACAAGTGACATTTGTATAGAATACAAAAAATGTACTTTGGGAAACATAAAAATATTCCCGAAATAATTGTTTTCTGGTTTGTTTTCTTCTTTTTTTTTCTTCTTTTTTTTTTTTTTTGGTATCAAAATATGGAATGAAGTGACATTAGGGGAAAAAAAGATGTAAAAGCCGGAAAAGCAAGAAAATAAAATACCTATAAAACGTGTTCATAAAATGGCCGACATCATAACAAAACAATCTGATCGGTAGTCGTGAAAACCGATAGCCAAAAATTTGACGGACAAGCAACGACCGGATAAGGTAACAAAACAATTGAGTGATAAAAGGTATAGAGAGAAATCTTCAAATCAAAAAAGTCGTCTGCTGACCAATATTTGTTAGACAAATCTTCCTTGAACATTGTGGCATCTTCGTGGATGACAAAATGCAGGATTATCGTCCTCTCATAATTTGCAATGCGTTTACTAAAGACATGAAAGATCACTACACTTACTTCAATCCATGCTATCATAAATAAACTTGTCTAATTTAGAGTACTTTCAGGGAGAGATATTGAGGGCGATTCTGCACAAGTTACTCTCACCTATATACACAAGCATTCAAACCAAGAGTACTTCGCATTTTGTGTCGTCGTCTTGATAGACCTACACCAAATTCTTCTTTCAGGAATTTAAGTATAAATCCAAATTTAACTAAGTGGTGTATCTGTGGCAGTGTAGCTGTAGCAGATATGGGATTTAGACAAGATTTAATGCATCTGTAACATTAGAACGAATTTAGTGCCATAACCAGGGAAATCCTCTTTATTTGGTGAAATAATCCAAAATTCAGTCGGTAAATATTCTGATGAAAGAAAATCTGAAAATGGAAGGAAAATAATGTTAATCACCATGGAGCAGCGGTTAACAAGTTCATCTGGCAATTATCTGGCATCGGAAGTTCGATATTCACTGAAAGTTACCGCACCTTTGCCAGATTAAGCCAGACGTAGTAAATATCAGAAAACAAATCTCACAGAGACGACGGAAAACATGAAAGAGAAATCCAAAGTCTCATCGAAATAGGGAAATATGCTTTCCAGAAACTAAGCAATGCATTAAGAAACAGGTAAACGAACTGCTAGATATGATATCTACCATTTAATATGGTAGCGAATGTTAAAAATTTTTTTAAAAAATGAAGAAGAGATTCAAAGTGACAGAGATGTGGTTCTACAGAAGGATACTGAGAATATCATCGTTATGTAAAAATGTGGCACTATTTAACGCTGGAAGAGGAAAATTGGGATTAAAAGATATAATGAAAGATAGACTGAGATCAGCTACAATGAAGAGTTTAAATTAAAGATTTTATTTTTAAGAAGAAATTAAGAATTAGGATAATATTCTGATATGTGGCAAGTGTGAGAGTAATTAATTACGAAAGGCGCTGGAGATAATCAGGATGGGCTCACTCAGCCAGGATGGTGGTCGAAGGACCCGGAGCTGAAAACAATAGCGTCTTAAGTTTAAAAAACAAGAAAGTGCGTAAGTCGTAATTTTATAAATAGGCAAAAGATTCTTCGTAAAGAGGCATAGAATTTAAGAAACGGCCGTTCAAAAATGGCCATGTGTTAAATACCAGAATTCTGACAAGGTGAGAAAAAGACTTACGTAGGCAAATTTCCGAATGATAACTTTAATTCTAATGCTGACAAGCCAGAAGACCCTATTACGCAAAACAACAAGGAGATAAAGTCTTCTGATTAATGAGGTAAATTGAATTGCGTCATAAAGATCGAGAAGACATTTTGCCGGGTGGTAGCCATAGTGACGTGCACAGCTAAGACAACAGGAAAGATGGAGAAATTATTAACGCCTCTCGAAAGGTGTTAGTATAAAGATGCCAATAGATGAGAGAATGGGTATGGGCGGATCGATATCCTGTGACCATACCACGCAAAAGAGGAGGTCTTACCAAAAATTGCAAGCGTAAGCGATTTTAAACAATGGACCTTTATTGGATTTAGGAGAATCACAGAAACCCCAGACCACGTCTTGTCCCACGCCGATATGAAGTGAGGCCCCATATAAGCAAACGCGCATGGTCGAGAAGTGAGAACCGCGGAGAATTACGTCCAGCGCTGTTAAGAGTTTGTATTGAAGACCGACCAGCTCGCTAAGACTGCGCCTACGTAACTCTTGCCAAGAACAAGAACTGCCACTTTGAAGAAAATCTATGCTAAGACCAAGAAGTAACCTTCACCCTTGTGCCAACAACGTTAATACGGAAAGCACATCGAAGTTAACGCCGAAAAACAGAATTACACTAACACCAAAAACAGAACGAACTCCACATTGAAAACAGAATTTTGTAATCAAGCTCTGAGAACTTGCCTAAGAGTCGCACTCTTTTAAGACGAGTTGGGACAATAATTGTTGTAAACCAAAGAACTGATATAAAGGTGAACTTTATTAATTATCAACTGTGCATCATATTTTCTTTTTCATTTTTATTGATGTGGACCTTCACCATAGCCGATCGACTTGGTACCAAAGATTCCGACAGCAATCGGACTTTACCGTCCTATGATTAAAAATTCACAAAGTGGAACATGACAAAGGTTGGGACTGAATTGTTTACTTCGGTAACTTACTGCAACATCATACATCCTAGACGAGCCCGAGGGATTGGGCGCTACATCTTAGGATCCGACCAAAGACCTTAGAACCCAGAATGTGGTACGTTATTGGTCCCGTGACCGAAGGTGCCGTGACTAAGGATCAACTCCCAGAAGTTGTCACACAAAGGAAAATTTTGAAAAGAAAATAGGAACTAGAAGGGCACTTATAATTAAAATCAGAAAAAATAGTAAAATTTCTGATACACATTATGAGGAAAGAGGGCTCGGAGAATTTAACACTCACAGAGTATACTGAAAGAATTATAAGCAGGAGAAAGCAGCGAATAATCTCATGTGTATTGTTATGAATTTAAAAACGGTTCGAAAACAGCTGGAAGTCGAGACGGCGATAACCTTAAGAAAGTATTTATTTCAACAAAAGAAACTGAGCCGAACGGCACTATCGCTGTCTCTTCAGATAATCTCCCTCCCCAAAATAAAGTAGAATCTATAAAAGAATAAATTTACATACAAAACACAAAGGAAGAGTTTATTTCATAAAACTCTTGCATGAAAGAGAAGAATGTTTTACTCACATAACAAAATCTTCTGACTTTGTTGGTGCCTTTCGTGTTCTTGAAGGCCCCCGTAGAACATTACCACCTTCAGAGCTAGTCTGAAATTAATTAGAGGCTGGTATAACATCATTAGAGACTAACCCTGAATTATAATACTAGGGCACAACTTATGTTCACTCAGATAGAGATGCATCCTTTATTAGCCAAGAATTAAAATCCTACCTAACCCAGAAAAGAATAGCCACAAGCACATCTATTTCATATCAGCCAACAGGCAATTCACAAATTGAATGGTACAATGGACTTATTTGGAGAAATCTTCGCCTGACGTTAAGAACATACAATATGGATCTAAAACTAATTGTTACGAATTTAAAAGCAATTCAAAAACAACAGGAAGACGAAATGGCGATCACCTTAAGAAAGGTTTCGTTCTACAAAAGAAACTAAGCCAAACGACACTATCGATGTCTCTCCACATAATTCCCCCCGCCCAGCAGAATTTATAAAAGAAAATTTATGTTCATTTGCATTCAATACATTTATGTACAAAATACCAAAGAAGAATTCATTTTATAACAAATACGTGTACGAATTAATGGAAGAGCAGAGTCAAAGATGTATGGTAAGGCGTCAGATGTTGTTTAGAACTACAAAGAGCAAGAATTTTGGGAGAGCAATGACCGCCCCCCCATGTCGTGAAGGGACACAACACATAAAAGAAAAAGAATGGGTCTGATCGTTGCGTCACTCAAACTTGTGACTATGTTCGAAATTAAAAGCTAATGATTAACATAAATAATCAGCCATTGCTTTCCAAAAATCCTTTACAAAGAAAACTATTTTATATTTGTTTCGATGCCCAATTCTCTCATCAGGTGGTGATCGAAGATAGTTATAAAAGATTTTTTAAAAATGCTAGATATGAAACATCACTTCTTTTTATATTTTTATAAAATTACAAAGACATATGAAAAACTTCTATAAAAGGAAAAGAAAGAAATATGTAATTTGACCATAAAAGGAAAAAAAAAAGAAATACACAGGTTAAAGCAGAAAAAGAAAAGATATCAATAAAAGGAAAAAGAAAGAAGAAAGAGAAATAGAAAGAGGTAAGAAAAGAAAGACATAAGAAATTATCGCTTCTGTAAAGAAAAGGAAAAGAAAAGGAAAGAAGAGAAGGAATATATCAAAAATTGCAAAGAAAAAAGAAAAGAAGAAAAGAAAACAGAAGTTGTTGATAATAATTTGAGTGAAAGATAATAGAGAAAGAATTCCAAATTTAACCGGAATTAATGTCAACTAGACAGAAAAATCTTTTTAAAAGATACAATGCAAAAGTTCGTGAGCCATATGGCGTTTTGAAAGAAGCCACATGTTTTGAACAAAATTAAACATAGTATGTAAATAAAAGACACTTTAAAAAGTAAAAACATTAGACATACAAAATAACTAATTCATTTATTTCATTATAAAAAAAATTACATTATAAATTAAAAAAAATAAATATAAATTTTTGAATATTTGTATGAATTATTTAAATTATTAAAAGCTATTATCAACATTATTACCAGGACGCGAGCGGATGCCGACAATATATATAT